TCTCTTATATTTTACAATTATTTCCTTACTATCACTCAGCTTCAAAAATTAAAATGTAATTTGTCTCCTACGACATTTGTAAATTCATTGAACTTTAAAAACTGGTCACAACCATACCATCTCCAAATTCCTTTCAGAATAATAAATCCACAAAGACTGAAAGGTCAGGTGTGGTCCAAAGAGTGTAACCCTATAGGCATCAGCTGCCTGTCCTTCCCTTTCCCTGTAATTAAAGACTTGTAGGCTTGTGGCTCAGTCTTCGAAATTATATTTCCTTTTTTCTCCTTACCCAACTTGTCCCTGTCTTGCTGTCTTCCTCTCTTGGTCCTCAGCCTGTGACACACACAATCTACAAGATCTTAATCTCTACCATTGAACCTTGCTTTTAATTAGTTTCGAAATCCCTGTGAGCATTCCCCCTTCATTTCCTCACACATTCCAACCACAAACTAAAGACAGTTCTGAAAAGATCTTTTTTAGAAGCCTGATTTCGCTAGAACTAAATGTGCAATAAAAGGATAAGACATTCACTTGTTCCCTTTAAGACAGGACTGTCAAAAGCCTACACGGGCAGGGCATTCGCAGAATCATACTTAATAGACGAGACTCTTCGGCCCATCAACTCCATACAACCAAAGCAACACTAAATCTACACGAAACCAACTTTCCAGCACAAAGCCCTTCACCTTGAATGTTATGGCGTTTCAAGTGCTCAAGAGTCATTATAAATTAGGCTATATGATTATACTTAGAGGCACTGCACTTAAATGGAAGCAATCCTGAACTTGCCCAATAACAAAGTACATTGATATAGCACCTTTAACGGAGTAAATGCCAAGGTGTTTCAGAGGAGTGTAATACAGTCATAAAGTCATAACACAACAGTTATACAAAGACTTGGAAATTTGAGCTTTCTCAATGGAGATTTACCTGGATTTTGCCGGGGATGGAAGGTCTGAGTTATAAGACTTTTTTCACTGGAGCATCGGAGGTTGAGAGGTGACCTTATAAAATCATGACGGATACAGAAATGGTTAATGGTAGGTGTCTTTTCCCAAGGAGGGGGGATTTCAAGGCTAGGGCGCACATTTCTAAGGTGAGAGAAGAGAGGTTTAGAAAAGACATGAGGGGCAAATTTTTTACACAGAGGGTGGTTCACATGTGGAATGAACTTCCTGAGGAAGTGGTGGATGTGGGTACAGTTACAATGTTTAAATGACTTTTGGATATGGAAGGTTTGGAGGGATATGGGCCAGGAGTAGGTAGGTGGGACTAGTTTAGTTTGGGATTATGTTTGGCACGGACTCGAAGGGTCAATTTCCATGCTGTATGACTCTATTACAGGTGAGTTTGCGAGAGTTATTTAAAATGATGAAAGTATTATTCATTAGTTAACCACAGCCTTGTCATTCAAAGTATTCTTTTAGTCGACAAGTCAATCACTATCGTGGAATTGAATTTAATATCATCGCCAACAGAACAGGGTTTAGGAGAGAATTGTTTAGATGTGGAATGATCTCTTTCAATGTGTCAGCATGTATTACAAGTTAGAGGGGGAAAAGCTACACTTTAAAAGATAAACAGTGCAGATAAGTTATGGCAGAGCACGTTGTGTGCCTGGGTTGCAGGATATGAGAGTTTGTGAACAACAAGACTGTCCTGAACACACATGTCTGCAGTAGACAGACGTCTCCATCTCAAATCTTTCTGGCTCAGATTTGCTGCATTGCCAAATGAGTATGGATCTGGCTGTTGATAATTTGTTAGCATTAAGCCTGAGTTGTATTTTGAGTTAAACTTGATAAGAAATGCAGCAGTGTTATTGCTAAAACCCATTTAAGACAAAAAAAACAAATACAGTGTACAAGTCCATCCTATTTCCCACTAACACATGCAGACACACACACAGACACGTGCACGCACACACATACACACACACATACGTACACACACACACACACACACACAACCCTCAATCACACAGGAAAATACAATTTACAGTGCATCAAAGGTTACTTTGCCAAGATTACAATACAGATTAAAGGGTCCAGTCAGTACAGATTCATTGATGGCATCTGGGTGATGTGGCTCTCTCTCTGACACAGTCGCTTTTTAGTAACATCTGGTGTATCCCTTTCTCCACAAATTGCCATGGCAAGATTGAAACCTTCCTTTGAGGTTCTCTGTTTACAGCAAAGAGGTCTTTTGACTGGTTGGCAAACCATAAGCAGGACTCACAGCTCGGAGAGAGATTTCTGAGTGGGAAAGAAAGTTATGGGGGCTGGCGGTACTGGGTAAAGGCAGATAACTGTGTCATCTTGAATGACTGCATTTTCAAATCCAGCATTCACCCACAGAAAGAGCTGGGTAACATGATCTCTCTATGTCAGTTGTATATTCCAAAGATTACAGAAACCTAGTGTAGCTTCTCTTTAGTTACAATGTAATGGCTGATGTGAATGAGTTTTAATGTCCCAGCCATGAATGAGTCACCTGATAAGACAGGAAGGAGTCAGTTCACACTTCATTGTATCTATCAAGGTCTGTCTGTCCCAAGTAGATGTTATGTAGCAACATAGTGATGCAAATTCTCCAGCTCAAATTCCCTTTATTCTGTACTTTGTTAGTTGCACTAACCCGTTTTGAATTTGTACCTCTTTCTACAAGATATGACCAAAGTGTCACAGATATCAAATATTGAACAACAATTTCATTGGCTGTTTCCATATTTTGGACTGACTTGGCACAATGACTGAAGCATCCATCTGGGACATTTATAAGGTTCAGACATTGACTGCAATGTAATTAAGTGTAAGGTCTTCCACTTTGAAGTAAAGGGTATTTTCTAACAGGTGAGAAGCTGGAAACTGTGAAGAGCTAACATTTCGAGTCTGATCTGACTAGTCTGAACTCTTTAGTTCTGAAAAAAATCATACAAGACTCAAAATGTAAACTTTATATCTCTGTCCACAGAAGCTGCCAGACCTGCTGGGTTTCTCCAGTATTCCCTGTATTTGCAAGTTTTATATTGCTTCCTTTCATTTCCTCTGATCTCCTGTTGTTCTCAATGCTAAAAGAAAATCAAGCCCTTTTTAATCAGAATCAAAAACTGAACTTGGTGATCCTTAAGGGTGTACACCTCGATAGACTCATTTAACTGGAGACCTACCAATGATGAGAGCAAAAGACAAGGGTGTGCTGTTGGCATGCTAGGCTAGAAATTGAGTTGAAAACTAAAAAAAAATGGTTGGAAATCACAGCGCGTCAAGGCAGTGTCTGTGGATAGAGGGCAAACCAACATTTCGAGTCTAGATGACTCTTCATCAGAGCTGCTGTCGGAGGGAAGAGCAAACCTTCTTCAGGTCGGGCATTCCTTGAAGAGACGTGGCCGTCAATTAAACACTACATAAGGGCAAATTGCTGCAGATGCTGGAACCTGCACAGAAAACAAAAAATTGCTGGAAATCACGGCAGGTCAGGCAGCATCCGTGGAGAGAGAGCAAGCTAACGTCTCGAGTCCAGAAATTGAGTTGATTTGCTCTTGCAGGAGGCTTTAAAATGTTGAAACAGCCACTGTACTGTTCTCCGATTAAATGTTCACCTCTCACCACAAGCTGGAATACCTGCAGCTTGTCTGTTGGGAATGAGCAGAGGTACCAACTTTCAGTTTGTTCTAACCAAATACGGCATGGGGCTTTGCTGCTGCTCCTTGTAATAACTAGTTTCTTCTCATTGTGATAACCTTGAAGAAATTCAAAAATAAACCAACAAAAATCATGGCATTTACTTTTAGGGATAGCCTCTGTTCTAATGTAGGACAAGCAGCAGCAAGAAGCGTATGTACTGTTTACTATTTCTTTGTTGTGTCCTTTGGCGCCTCTGCATTGACATCTGTGGCTCCTTCCAGGGCGAGCACAAAATAAATTTGTTTGTGGGAGCTGCTGCACTGCCAGAAATGTTGCATTTTGGATGAAACGTTAAACTGAACAGTGCAGGTGAAGAATCTCAAGATACTGCTTTGAGAAAGAGCAGTGTCCTGGCCAGTATTAATCCCTCCACTAACCTCTTCACAAACTCCCGTCATTACCACTTTGCAGTTCTGCGTTTGTCACATCATGACAAGTTCGAAGATATTTCATTGGTCGCGAAGTACCTTGGGATGTCTCAGCATGTGAAAATCACTATAGAAATGCAAAAGAGATAGTAGGAACTGCCGATGCTGGAGAATCTGAGATAACATGGTGTAGAGCTGGATGAGCACAGCAGGCCAAGCAGCATCAGAGAAGCAGGAAAGCTCTGAAGAAGGGTCTCGACCTGAAACATCAGCTTTCCTGCTCCTCTGATGCTGCTTGGCCTGCTGCGTTCATGCAGCTCTACACCGTGTTATCATAGAAATGCAAGTCTTCATTTAGTAAGGTCAGAAATCACAAGACCTCAGGTTATAGTCCAACAGATTTATTTGAAAACACAAGCTTTCGGAGCCTCAGTCTTTCTTCAGAAGCATGGGTTTTCAAATAAACCTGTTGGACTATAACCTGGTGTCGTGCAATTTCTGACCTTGTCCACCCCAGTCCAACACCGGCACCTCCACATCATTCCTTTGTTAATGCATCCTTTTCTTGCTGCTCAGGGAGGGAGGATACTCAGGTCCCCAAGAGGGAAACATCAGCAACACTGGAGAATGACACATAGTGGCTGGGGCCATTCGGTACACATCAAAATGGGACTCCAGTAGGTTCACTTCCAACTAGGATGCCTTTTTGTGACTGGGCCCTTCCTCTGGGGTAGGCCAGTGATCTGAAATGCTAACTCTGTTTCTCTCTCCATGGATGCTGCCAGCTCTGCTGAGTACTTCCAGCGTTTTTGGCTTTTATTGCAGATTTCCAGCATCTACAAGAGCTGCTAAACTCCCAGTGGCGTTGGACCAGAGGGGGCGCTGCTGCTCCCATCTGACACGTCCCCGCGCACTGACCCCGCCCCCTCAGCGCGACATCAGAGAGCGACACGCCAACCGCCCCGTGACGGGTTGGTTGTGCGCCGGAAGTGGCTTGGAGTGCTGAGCTGGTCAGCCGAACCGGTGCTTTGATCCGCCTCCTCGGGGGGAAGGAGAAGGGAAAGGGAAAGGGAAGGGAGGAAACGGGGAAAGGAAGACGAAGAAGGCAGCCGGCCTCGGAAACTGAGGTGAAACCATGGCGGTGAGTGTGGGGCGAAAGTACTGCAGGTTGTGGGAGTGGGGGGGGGTACTTCCCAGGGGCCTGGAGAGGGGGAAGGGGGCAGGCCCAGGGCCCAGCGCCCAGCGATGGGAGGTGCCTTAGAGATGAGGCAGGGAGAGGCGGGAGCGAAGTGCTGTAGAGAAGTAGAGGGGGAAAGCTCAGAGGAGGTGCAGGGGTTCGGGGCCATTCCCTGGGGAGGTACAAAAGAGAGGAGGGTCGGTGGCAGCTTGGGGAATGGGGCAATGTCCCCTTAGTGTCAATACAGAGGGGGTCTGGTTAAAGGGGTCACCACAGGGAGAGAGCCTGTGGCCAGTTCAGAGACTCATACAATCCCCTCAAACAGTCACACAAACGCTGATAGCTCACTTCGTAACTCTCTGTCGGAGAATGTGGTGGAAGCTGATTTTTCTAACAGCTCTAATAAAACAGACTAGGCCGTGCAGAGAGCCACCATGGCATGAGCGGGCTGAATGGCCTCCTGTAAATGTGACCTTTCTGTGTTGAACTAATTATGGCACTGCTGATGACCCAGTTGTAACCAGTTAGCTCAGTGTCAACCTGAGATTGAAGCTGGGGATGTTGCTGTTTCGTGGTTTAGCAACAAACCAGGCAATAGTCTTTTTGAGATTGGCACACTGGTGTGCTTGAGTTCCAGGTTGTCTTGCCCTATCCCCTGCTTATCTCTTTAGGCCCCATCCTTTAGTGATTTTCTGTGCTCTTGATCCAATGCAGTAGCGAGAAGACTGAGTTCAGATTGTTTCAAAAGAACGGCATTTAATACCGGGCTTCTGCAGATGTTCATCGACCTTTATTCTTAACAGTTTCTCCCCAACAGATATTGCCTTACCTGCCTATTTCAAGCATTTTCTGTTTACTTAAGATGTAGGAGCAGAAGCAGCCTCCACCATTCCATGAGATCGCAGCTGATCTGAATCCTGAATCCACTTTCCTGCCTTATCCCTATAACCCTTGATTGTCTTACTGATTAAAAATCTCTGCATAGAATGAACTGCCAGAGGAGGTGGTGGAGGCTGGTATAATTACAACATTTAAAAGCCATCAGGGTGGGTACATGAATAAGAATGGTTTAGAGTGATATGAACCAAATGCTGGCAAATGGGACTAGATTAATTTAGGATATCTAGTTGACATGAACAAGTTGTAAATTTCTATGACTTTGTCTTAGTCATGAATGTATCTATTGACTGCCTCTGTGGTAAAGAATTCCACCGATTCACTACCCACTGAGGGAAGAAATTCCTGCTCCTCTCTTCTTAAATGTGTGACCCCTTACTCTGAAGTTATGCTGTCTAATCCTAGACCTCTTCCACAAGGGGAAGCAATCTTTCTGCATCTACCTTGTCAAGTGCCCCAAGAATTTTGTAAGTTTCATTAAGATCAACTCTCATTCTCCCAAGCCCCAAGGAGCACAGGCTCAACCTCTCTTCATAAGACTGTCCTGCCATACCCAGGATCAACCTAGTGAATCTCCAATGCAGTGTAGCTGTCAGCATTGAAAACAGAGTTGCAATCCCGTCTCCACAGTCCCTGAAGCTGATGGAATTATTTCCTTTCTTGTTCAAGCAGCCGAAGGGAGGCAAAGTTGGAACGAAAGGGAAGAAGCAGATTTTCGAAGAGAACAAGGAGACCCTAACATTCTACTTGCGAATTATTCTGGGAGCGAACGTGAGTTTAATGATTTATGTGTATCTCTGAGGGATGGGCTTGAGGAGATATTACCATCAGGACCATGTGATCAAGCTTGGGTCAAGGAATAGAGTCAAAGGCAGGAGAGTGAATTGTTAGTGTGGAAAAAGATCAGGTCAGAATGGCCCAAAGAGAGAGAAAAGACTAAGAATGCACCAACAGTCAAGACTAGATGCTGCGCAGATAAGAAATAAACTGAAGGCCTGTATCTGAATGGTATAGCATTCATAACTAAATGAATGAATTGATAGTGTACATTTGAAGTGAATAAATATCATCTAGTTGCTGTTACAAAATTGTAACTGCAGGATGGCAAGGATTGTGATCTGAATCTTGATGGATATGAGTTTTGAGAAGAATAGGAAGTTAGGAAAAGGGGGAGGGATAACTGTGTTAATCAAAGATGGTAGTGATGCATCAATTAGAGATGACCTTGGCACAAGAGATCAAGAATGAGATGAGGGCTAGTAAGGGGAGGTAGCCCATAGTGGTAGTGGACTACAAACCTCTGAACAGCAACCAGACCAGAGAACAGTATACTTGAACAAATATTGGGTGCTTGTGATAAAGCAATGGCAATAATTATGGGGGGGTGGATTTTAACCTACATATCTGGAAAAATCAGGTTGTCAGTAGTAGTCTAAATAAGGAGTTTTGCAAGAGGTTCTTAGAGCAGCAAGTTCTGGAGCTGCCCAGAGACCAGGCTATACTGGACTTAGTATTGTGTAATGTGACAGGATTAATGAATGGCCTCTGTGTATAGAGGCACCTGTATATTTCAACAATCGTAATCTGCTTGAATTACACATCCAGTTTGAGAGGAAACAGGGTGGGTCTAAGACTAGTGTTTTAAACAGAAATTAGGGCAGCTGTCTGGTCGTGAAAATTGAGCCAGCTGAAGGGAGATTGCATATTGGGTAAGGAGAGCAGTAGAGACACGGCAGATATTTAAATGGATACTTCAAAATCACCACATTCCTACTATAAAAAATTTCAATGAGAGGACCCATCATCTGTGGTTGTCTGAAGAAACTGAAGGAAAATCATACTGTACAAAGGTGCGTGGCAGATCAGATGACTGGTCAGCACATAAGAACAACAGAAAATGACAAAAAGGTTAATTAGGATGAAGAAAACAGAGCTAGAAATGTAAGAAGAGGGATAGCGAAAGTTTCCATGACTATTTAGAAAGAACAGGGGTAAGTAAATTGTTGCTTCTCCATAGAGTGAGATTGAGGCGTTAATAAAATGATAAAATATTTTGCCTCTGTCTTTACTATAGACGATGCAAAAAAATCCTTGTAATAGCTGTAAATGAGGAAGTTGAAGGGAAGCAGTGCTAACCACTGACCCACCGTGCCACCCAATGGTGGTACTGAGCAAACTGATGGAGGTATAGGTTGATAAGTCGGACCCCTATTAAACTTCATTCTTGGGTCTTAATGAAGTAGCAGACACCTTGGTATTAATTTTCCAAAATTTTGTTAGAGTTACAATTCTGATGAACTGGAAAGTAGCAAATACAGCCCCTCTTCAACTAAGAAAGGAGGTAACAAACTGGAGGCCAGTTAGTTCAGCAGAGGAGATGTTAGAATCAATCATTAAGCAGGTTGTAACTGGGCAATTGGAAAGAGTCAACATGGTATTTTGGAAAGAAATCCTATTTAACCAATTTATTTGAATTCTTTAAAGGAGTAACTTATGCTGTAGATAAACAGGAGCTCACTGATATCCTATGTTTGGAATTTGAAAAGAACGTTTGTCAAGGTTCCATCTTAAAGGTTATTATGTTGGAGCTCATGGTGTAGAGGGTAACATAGTGGTACAGAGAGAAGTTTGGCAAGTTAGAATATGCATCAATGGATTTTTTTCAAACTGGTAGAATATGACGAATGGGGACCCACAGGAATCTGTGCTGAGGCCTCATATTTTGTTTTAGAATTTATGTTGATGACATGGATGAGGGAAGTGAAGGCATGGTGGCTACATCTGCGAGCAACACAAAGATCAGTGGGAAAGCGTATGGAGCAAATGACACAAAAGGACGCAGACTCGGGCTCGAGAAAGTGTAATGTGGGAAATGTGAAGTTGTTAACTTTGGCAAGGTGAATGATAAAGCAGTATTATTCAAATTGTAAACGACTGCACGTGCGGAGAATTACTGAGAGTGAGAGAGTCCCAAAAAGTTAGTGCACAGGTACAGCAAGTCATTAAGACTAATGGAATGTAATCAGTTACTGCAAGAGGAACTGAGCATTAACATAAAATTACACTTCATTTGTATAGGGCGTTGAAGAGACCACAAGTTGAACATTGTGTACAATGTTGGTCTCCTTATTTAGGAAAGGATGTAAATGTGTTGGTTACTAGAATGATATCTGGAATGAATCAGTTGACTTTTGAGGAAAGAACGGGCAGTCTGGGCTTGTTTCCATTGGTGTTGAGAGTGAAGGGTGATTTGGTTGGGTGAATAAGATCCTGAATGGTCTTGGTAAGGTGCACATGGAAAAAGTGTTTCCTCTTGGGGAAGGGTCCAGTGCTAGGAGAACTGTCATATGGGAGTCACCCTTTTAGGACAGAGGTGAGATTTGTTTTTTAAATTTTTGATGGTTGTGCAACTTTAGGCAGAGGTATTGGTCAGGGGGCTGGGGGAGGATGTCATTAAATATCTTGAAGACGGTGGGAGGTTTTTATTGGGTAGGGGGATCAAAGGTTATTGGCTTAGATAAGAATGTGGAATTCGGGACACAATAAGATCATGGCAGATCTGTTTGTGTGGTGGAACAGGCTCGAGGGGCCAAATGGTCCAACTCTAATTCACAGGTTCGTATTACCGCCCGTGCAAAAGCAGTCCGACTGGCCAGGGAGCTGTCCTGAGTTGTCCCGGTTGTATTTTGAGCATGTCGCATTACCCTTCTTGGAAGAGGTGGGAGAGCCTGCGTTACGTTGTTGCTGTCTCACTCATGGCTGCCTTTTCTTATCCACAGGCTATTTACGGCACAGTGAACCTCTTCCTGTTCTACAGCTCAGTCACGTTCTGGACCTGGGTAAGTCTCTGGAGCTTACGGTGTGGATGGTGGCAGGTGAGAAGATCCAGGCACCGTGCCTGAATTCCGGAATGAGCTTTGAATACATTACAGTTTTAGCGGAGGAACGCGTTATACGATGCTTTATATTCAGTAGTCTGGCAATGAACAGTTAAATCAGTTTTCCAATAGAAGGGCATTCAAAACTAGAAGGCGTAGGTTTAAGGTGAGAGGATAAAGATTTAAAAGGGGCATGAGCGCCAACATTTTCACACGGAGGGTGGTTTGTGTGTGGAATGAACTGCCAGAGGAAGGGGTAGTTGAAGGTACAGTTACAACATCTAAAAGACCTTTGGACAGGTACATGAATAGGAGCGGTTTAGAGGGATATGGGCCAAGTGCAGGAAAATGGGACTAGTTTAGTTTGGGGAAACCTGTTCGGCAAAACGAGTTGGACCGAAGGGTCTGTTTCTGTGCTGTATGGCTCTATGACTTGATGTAGTGGAGATGAGGGTTGTCACCAGGGGAATAATTAGGAAAGGAGTAATGGCTCAAATGGAGATGAGATTACCATTGGTGGTGGGTGGGGCTGGTTTATTCAATCACTAGTCACTCAAAACAGTTGTAGACTGAAGGGTAGGTAGTTGGGAATCTTTCCATGAGAGTTTCTTTTCATGGAGTCCACACCGACCCTCTGAAGGGCATTCTACCCAGGCCCACCCACCCTGCATTTCCCATGGCTAACCCACCCAGTCTGCACATCCCTTGACACTATGGGGCAACTTAGCACAGCCAATCCTCCCTAATCTGCACATCTTTGTACTGTGGGAGGAAACCCTTGCAGACACAGGGAGAACATGCAAACTCCACACAGTCGCCCAAGGGTTGGAATCAAAGCCAAGTCCCTGGCGCTGTGAGGCAGCAGCGGTACCCATAGGGCAGACAAAAGGAAGTGGGGTTAAAAGAGGGAAGGAGAACATGGATGGCAAGTGATACAAGAAAATTATTGGGGACTATTTTCTCTGTGGGAGTAGCAAGACCTTCGAATTACGTGACCAGAAAGTGGCCATGTATGGGGTAGCAGAATTAAAATGGACAGATTTATAGTGGAAAGGAAGCCAGTAATCGTAGGACAGAGAACAAGAAGAGCTGAGATGGTGGAGATCACTGAGGATGAAAAGACGTTCATGGCGTAGGTTCAAGCTGAGCGGGGAAAGATTTAAAAGGGACCTAAGGGGCAACTTTTTCACTCAGAGGGTGGTGCATTTATGGAATGAGCTTCCAGAGGAAGCGTTGGAGGCTGACAGAGTTACAACGTTTAAAAGGCATATGGATGGGTACATGAATAGGAAGGGTTTAGAGTGATATGGGCCAAATGCTGGCTAATGGGACTAGATTTACTTAGGATATCTGGTCGGCATGGAAGAGTTGGGCCGACGGCTCAGTTTCTGTGCCGCATCACTCTACGGCAGAAACTGAGGGAGGAAAGCAGTGGTGATCCAAGAAAGAAATGGATGGGATTTACTGAGCTGTGATTTTTAATGAGATGCAGGAAATAAACAAAACCAGACCTGCCCTCCTGCCTCTTTCTGCCCCTCTTGCTGCGCCCCCTGCCTTCTACTATCTCCCCTCCCTTTAAAAACATTCCTTTTTGTTTTGCAGGGATTCTTGGCTTTTGCCTTTGTTGTCTATAGTTTAAGCTACCGTTGGATGCAGGGAATGGCACAGCCTGTGTTCTCTGAGGAACGTGTCCTACTCGATGGAGGCATTGACCTGAACATGGAGCAGGGTATGGCAGAGTGAGTGTCTGCACTGCTGCAGGTATCTGACCTGACCCCAAATAACTCAGGCAGTTTCTGTTCGTCTGAATCCCAATGCGTATTCCTCAGACTGGAATTCACATTTCACACCGGTGATCTTTTATTGCTTTTCTAGCGTCAGCCGTGTCTCTGATACTAGCACACTCGCTGCGTGAGCCTAATGGTTCTGGGTTCGAGTCCTACTTGAGCACAGAGATCTAGCCTGTCGCTCCAGTGCAGTACTGAAGGAGTGCTGCAGTGGTGGAAGGGCTGTACTTTGGCTGAGACATTACATTGAGTGCCCATATCTCTGTTCAAGTGGATTTAAAAATCCCATCGCACAATAGCGAGGAGAACAGGAGTTCATCCCCACTGGACCTCGTGTACAAAATTTGCTCCTCGATCAATATGAAAAGCAGTTTATTCGGTTTACCATATTGCTGTTTGAGAGAGTTGCTGCAGTGGGAAAAAATGGCTGTATTTCCACACTATGCCAGAAAACACACTTGAAAAAGCACATCTAAGTGCTCGTGTTAAAGAATTCTATATAAGCACAAGTTTATCTTTCTCTGCAGATGGCATTTGATCTGCTGAATATTTCCAGCGTTTTCTGTTTGTATTTCTGAATTCCAGCTTCTGCAGCAGTTTGCTTTTACAGTCATTTCCAGCTGTTTTTGGTTTATGTACTAATTAGCTTCCCTTGCTACATCACCGTCCTGTTTTGCCTTGCCCCATTATTCACTTTATCATCTAGTTGCTTCTGCTCCCAACTCTGTAGCAGGTCTCCCTCTGGTCTTTCCTCGCTCTGGTCTTTCCTCGCTCTTTGCTTCAAGCCTCTCGTGTCTCTAACATTTCCCAGATCTCTTTCTCCCTGTGTGGATGCTGCCTGTCCTGTTGAGTCATTTCCATCGTTCCTTTGTTTTTATCCTAATTTGGCCTCGTCACAATCAAATCAACATGCCGAATGTTGGCGCGTTCCCACCTTGACTGAATACAAAACGCTGCTGGCTCCAGGGAGACTTCTTTCCACACTATTAGCCTTGCACAAGAACATTAACCGCCTGTGAATTCCCTTGGTAACCTCATCCAACCCTGAGATCGCTGTGTTCCTGCACTTGCAGCCTGCTCCCATGGGTGGCTCTGTCTCCCACCTCTCTCTCTAACCATTCAACCCCTCGTTCTTTCTTTCCCCCTTAAGATGCTGCTTTAATTTCTTTGGCCAAGTTTTTGTTCACTCACTTCGCTACTTCCTGAAGTGGCTTGTATTTATTTGAAAGCGCTCCTCTGCAGCATCTCGGGATGTTCATTTGTAACTGGTGCTGTTTCAATGCAAAGTTGTTGCACCCCCGAAGCCCAAAGCTTTCTGCTTCACCGAGTTTAGCTGCTGTGGTGCTAATCTGCAGTTGTTTTACCTTCTAGGCATCTGAAGGATGTGATCTTACTCACTGCTATCTTGCAGGTCCTCAGCTGTATATCCATGTACTTCTGGTATCTGTGGCTCCTGGTGAGTTCTTCTTGCGTCAATCGCTCTCCGTCGACTTGAAGGGATTTTTAGCTGAAGGAGTCGCTTGTTCGGTCACTAATTTGGTGGGGGAGCAGAGGGCTGGAGGAGAAGCAATGAGGCCCAGTGTGCGGAAGAGCGAGTTATTCTCAACACCGTGATGTGAAGGTGGTAGCCCCAATCAGATAGAGGGGCATTTTTAGTTAAAGGCTGCGTTTGTGCCTGTTCAGACTGGATTACACTTTCCAGTCCAAGGAGCCTGCAAAGCAGGCGTGGAGCGTATTGCATGGCTCCCATACTTAATATGTTGCCAGCTGGTGTGGGGCTTGGCGTTGTATGGTTATGTCTCATTGTAGTTGAAGTTTAGAGCTGAGTACTGAAGCTTTCACCTGCTTTGCCAGGAGTAATGGTGTCATTGACTCAATCACTGAACTGGCAGCAAATCCCACTGTGTATGGGTCGCTCTCCACTTTTCTCTCACTGTCATGATTGCATACTTGTAGGGTCAGATATAGTGGAAAAGACGCAGTCAGATCTGCTTGGGTGGCTTAGTGGTTAGCACTGCTGCCTCATAGCGCCAGGGACCCGAGTTCACTTCCGCCCTCGGGCGACCGTCTGTTTGTATGGAGTTTGCACAATCTTCCCGTGTCTGCATGGATTTCTTCTGGGTGCTTCAGTTTCCTCCCACAGTCCAACAATGTGCAGGTTAGGGTGGACTGGCCATGCTAAATTGCCCATAGTGTCCATGGATGTGCAGGCTGGGTAGATTAGCCATGGAAAATGCAGGGTTAGGATGGGATAGTGGGGTAGGATGCTGATCAGAGGGTTGGTGTGGACCCAATGGGCTGAATGGCCTGCTTCCACATTGTAGAGATTCAATGATTAAACGTCGATTGTAGAATCAGTGTTGGGCCAGGCGTGAGGCACAACTCCCCTGCTCTTCAGAATCGTCATGCAGGATGTTGTGTCTTACTCCCGGACGGACTGGATCTCAGTTTATCTCATCTAAAAAGTCAACAGAATAGCACTCCCTCACTGGGTGTTCTGACCTCTACCCTGTGACCTATTGACGTCAGAGAGAGCAACAAACTGACTTCACCTCAGACTTAGCTGCGCAGTGGTTGAGAAAAATAACAACCTCTCAGTAAATCTTCCCGGTTGAGTGATCAGAAAATGAAGAGGGTGCATTACTGTTGTGCTTTTTCCAAGCTAAGGATAGCCCTGAGTGTTTTGTCGGCAGTGATGAGAAGCTTAAGCGTTCCAGCACTCTGCCTGGACCGACCACTTGTCTGTGTGTTTTTTCAGGCACCAGGGAGGGCTCTCTACTTGCTGTGGGTGAACATCCTGGGACCTTGGTTTACCGCAGAGCCTCCCGGTAATCCGGAGATATCTGAAAAGAAGCACAGGCGGCAGGAGCGCCGACAGATGAGAAAGCAGCAGTAGAACGAGCTGCTTCCAGACCTTTGTTTACCGATCGATTCCTCGGAGCCGTGCGCTGAGAACGTAGCCATTGCCCCACCTCCCTCGCCAAGGTTTCCCAGCTACCTCAGGCCTCTCGTGAAGAGGCCTACCTGTGCTGAGGGAACGCACTAGCTGTTTCTCAATGGTCAGCTCCCCACCCCCCGTACGTCCTGTTGCCATGTAATTATTCCAAGGCTTTAAAAAAAAATGAGCCGTTGCTGGCCATTCTCCTCCGCGCGTCTGCACCTCAGGTTGATTCATGCTCGGCTGCTTGTTAGCTTTAGGTGTCATCTTCCTCCACCCCTACAGGACAGCACCACTGAGCCAAGTGGGTGGGGTAATGTACTGAAATCTTTGTGGAACCAAACCGGCTTAGCGATGCCTCACTACCTCAGCTTTTGAGTTTGCGTGTCCATGTTTGTTCCGAGCGGCAGCTTTCTTTGGAGACCAGTTCTTCAGATGTCGGCCATTTTTTGCCATGGTGCTGGTGGGTGACCCTCAGCAGTGATTCCCAGCTAATCAAGAGGGAGAGAGTAGATCGTGCCCTGCCCTGCCCTGGCTCTCGTGGACCTACCACCACAGGGTCCTGAGTGTAGGGCCACTGCAGCCGTTCTGGGGCGTTTTGTGTCGCTATCCCATCTGGGCTATAGACTGGGCACAAGGGATCAGAGCTTTCAGTTCCAGTGACTGGGAATTTTAGTTAGGAACAGCTCGAGAAATCCCCTTGTGTCTCAGCATGTTTGTTGAAACGAGCGAGGGGGAGTTATTATTCCCAGGGATGTTGGGCAAGGGTTGGCCAACCAGAGGGAGGGATAGAACAAGCCTGTCTTTGCCCACTGCCTGATCCATCCCTCCACATCTCCAGCTCCCTCCTCACTGAGTGGAACATTGGAATGGATGGGAGTTAATTTAGCCCCTTATCTGTTCCAATCAGTGAGATCATGGCTCATCTATATCACAACTCCACCGACTTGCCTTCGCTCTGTATCACCTGTTCCCCTAAGTGAGCAATAATCTGTTGAGTTCAGATTTAAAAATTAAGCTAGATTCTACTTTGGAGAGAGGAAGGCCAGTATTTTTCTCTTCTGAATAGCCTGTCTGATTTATTTTTTCAGATGATCTCCCCTTATTCTAGACTTGCAGTGGAAAAATTCTTCCTTTCCCTCTCTTGCACTGTTTCCTACTCTACCTGTCCCCTCAGAAAAACCCATCCTATTCCAAGGTGTATACATGGGGAATATTTTAATAAAATGGAGCTGGGCTACACTGGCAAGTGTGCTCCTACCACCCAGGGTCAGTCTTTAGATGTTTTTACCATTTTTAATGAGCTGTCGTTTTCACCGTTGCTCTGTCAGATGTGGCTGTCAGTATTCTACTGTCCTTCTTGCCGAGAAGATCGTGAGTTCACTCAACACTGAGGCCTTGAGCAGAGGGTGACGTTCCAGTGCAGTACTGAAGGGGTGCTGCATTGCTAGCAGCAGTATCTTCTGCGATGAGACATAAGAACAAGGCTCCATCTGACTTTCTCTGCAGTTGACAGAATCCCGTGGCACTTAGAGTTCTCCAGGTCGATATTTATACCTCAACCAACATCACAGAAACAGATTACCTGGTCATCCTCTCGTTGCTGTTTGCTAGTGAGCCCCCGCTGTACATAAATGGGCTGCTGTATCTCCCTACGTTGTGACAGCAACTGCTCTGCAAATGTCTTTCACATAGTAAAGCTCATGGGGATGTCCTGCAGATGTGAAGAGTGCAATATAAGTGTGTGTCCGACTTTTCCTCGTGCGAATGAGCTCCTATCCAGCAAGTTGAGTCTTAATATCTCTGCGACGTATTCCGAATCAGTGACAAAATGCTACTCGAAGTGGCCAAGGAAGGTCGTCTTTGTGCATCAGGCTGCGGGGGCGGGGAGGGACCTGCAGGGTTTTACACTTAGACTATGCACAGGGGAGAACGCTGTGGCAGCAGGCTTACCCCCAAGGACCAAACGATTTCACATCTTAATGTATCAGTGTCTTAACTCATTGCCTGCAGGAAGGTGAGGGCGGGGTATTGAATAATGGGCAAGTGCACGATGGCCTACACAGATCAACAGTCAAGGCTGAACGACTTCGATCTTCTCCACTTACTGTATTGACTCAGCGACAAATAACTGTATTTAAAATTTTATTAAACTATAAGAAACAATCAGTTTACACAATATCAAATGCATATTGAATAAATATTGTACGATACATTGTGCTGTGTTAGTGATTGCCTTAGATTTAATCTGGGGGTGCTGACAGTGTGGTTTGGGAGATTTCAATGGGAGCAGGAACGCCATCCCAAATGTATGTTCCTTTGTTTCCCCTGATTAGCTGAGTGGCTACTTGAATGTGCTTAGGTAAGTAATTCTGATTAGGAACATAATGGGAGCAGTAAGCCACTTGACTCCTCAAGCCGGCTGCACTGTTTGAAATACCTTGGTCATTTTCTTGCATGGTCCCTTTGCCTTTAATCTGTAGAGATCTATAAAATCATAAGATATGGGAGCAGAGGTAGGCCATTCAGCCCATTTAATTGGTCCCACCAGCCAATGAGATTGTGGCCAATCTGATAATCCTCAACTCCTTTTTCCCTTACTGATTTTTTTTTTAAAAAATAATCCGTCTTGGCCTTGAGTTTACTTCCTTTACCCACCCGATGAAAACCACTCTGTGGGGTAAACAATTCTGCAGATTTGCTACCCTCAAGAAATTCCTCTTCCTTTGCCTTAAATGTATGACACCCTTATTCAAAAATTGTCCTCTTGGTCCTACACTCTTCCACAAAGTGGGGGGACAACCTCTGGATGAGAATGTACAAGGCATAATTAGTAAGTTTGTGGATGACGCAAAAATAGGTGGTATTGTGAACAGTGAGGAAGATTATCGGAAATTACACCAGGATCTTGATCAGCTGGGGAAGTGGGCTGAGAAATGGCAAATGGAGTTTAATGTAGAGAAATGTGAGGTGTTGCATTTTGGAAAGTCAAATCCAGGTAGGAGTTTCGTGGTGAATGATAGAGCCTTAAGGAGTGTAGTGGAAGAGAGGGACCTTCGAGTCCAGGTGCACGGTTCTCTGCAAGTGGAGTCACAGGTAAACCGGGCAGTGTTTTGGCACACTGACCTTCATCATTCAGGGCATTGATCATAGAAGTTGGTAAGTTATGGTGCAGTTGTACATGACATTGGTGAGGCTGCACTTGGAGTATTCTGTTCAGTTTTGGTCACCTTGCTATAGGAAAGATGTTATTAAACTGGAGAAGTGCAGAAGAAATTTACAAGTATGTTGCCAGGTCTGAAGGGACTGAGTTACAGGGAGAGGTTGGACAAGCTACTACTTTTTAAAGAGTGTAGGAGACTGAGGGGGGTGGATTCTTATAGAAGTGTATAAGATCACTAGAGGCAAGGATAGAGTCAACGCACTCAGTCATTTTACCAAGGTTGGGGGATCAAGGACTAGAGAGCATCAGTTTAAGGTAAGTGGGGAAAGAATACATGGGAACCTGAGGAGCAACTTTTTTACACAGAGGGTGGTACGCATATGGAATGAGCTACCAGCGGAAGTGGTTGAGGAGGGTACATTCACAACGTTTAAAAGGCATTTGAACAAATACGTGGATAGGAAAGGTTTAGAAGGATATGGGCCAAGTGCAGGGAAATAGGCTTGTCGTGGATGGACATTTTGGTTGGCATGGACCAGTTTGGGCCAAAGGGCCTGTCTCTGTGCTGTAGGACTCCGTGACTCTATATCTACTCAGTCAAGTGCCTTAAGAATCTTGTACGTCTCAATAAGGCCACCTCTCATTCTTCTGTATCCCAACGAGTACAGGCTCAGTCTACTCAAGCACTTCTCAAAAGACTCTCATTTCATGCCTGCTATCTCCTAGAGAATGTTGCCTGGACAGCCTCCAATGCCAATATATCTTTCCTTAGATAAGGAAACCAAAACTGTTCACAGTATTCCCGCTTTGGCCTGATTAATGCCCTTTTATAGACTTAGCAAAACCGCCCACTATTATATTTCATTCTCCTTGAAACAAAAGCCAACAGTTCATTTCATGTGCCAAGTTTTTGCCTACTGACTTAAGCTGTTTATATTCCCCTGCAGACCCTGTAATTCTCAACATTTGCTTTCCCACCTATTTTGTGTAATCTGCAAACTTGGCAATAAGTGTCTTCACTTTCTTCATCCAAATCATTAATCTATATTGTAAATACTTATGGCCTCAGCACTGATCCCTGTGTCATTCCACTAGGTAGCAAGGAACATTATCAGCCTCCCTAGCCCTCTGTGCTAGAGAATGCCAAACATTCATCATTCTCTGAAGCAATCTCAGTATTAAATGACCTGTACCTTTCCCTGAGACCACGTTCCCTGGTTCTAGACCCTCCACTAACCACCCCCCCCCCTTCAAAGTGATGAGAACAATATCCATCCTGTCTCTACCCTGCTGAGCCATCTAAAAAATTTGCATGCTTCAATGAGATCACCCCTCGTTCTTCTAAACTCTTCAGAATACAGGCCCAGTCTCCTCAATCTCTCTTTCTAGGACAGTCCCGTCATCCAAGGAATCAGTCTATTGGAACTTTGTTACAAAGCTCAGAAGTATTCTATGTATTTACAGCAAGATTTCTTGCTTTGAAGGCAAGCATACCATTTGCCTTCCTAATGACTGTTCATGCATAATATCTTTGTGACTTGTATATGAGGACATTAACACATGTCAATCTTTCTCCATTTAATAAATACCCTGTGTTTCTTTTTCTCTGACCAAATTACATAATTTCACATTTTTAAATATTATATTCCATGTGCAATTTTCTTTCTCATTTAATCTGACCTAATCCTCTTGAAATCCTCCCCCGAAGTTGTATTTGGTCCCCACGTCATAGTGCCTACTAATCTAGACCTGCCACAGTGAAAATGACCATTTATTTTCTGTTTTCTGTCTCAACCAATTCCTAATGTCAGTATAATCCCCATTTCCATGTGCTGTAATTATACTTACTAACCTGTCGGGCGGTATTGAAAGTGTGAGTGTGGTGTATACAGGAGAGTGGAAATCAAGCTGCACCGCATGGTGAAATATCCTGTTGATACTCAGGGTCTCAACAGACATTCATCTTGGAGAGGCACATCCAGCACTGCCGCGTTCCTTCAGTGTCTGAGCTGTCTTTTGCAAAAGATGGAAGATAATTGTACGGGGAGGTGTAAGAGCATCAGAAATGGAAACAGGAGGAAGCCATTTGGCCCCTCAAGCCTGCCTTGCCTCGCAATCAAGTTATGGTTGATCTGATTGTGACTTTAGGAAAAGAGAAATGTGTAGCCGTATTGATGATGGAGGGCATTGCTATGTTAAAGGTAAGGAGGATGTCGCAAAGGGTTTAAGGATGCAGTCAATGTGGCTGGACCTTTGGAATAAAAAGGATGCAATGACTATTGCTCAGAGTAATCTATACACTACCAACTAGAGGAGGGGATGGAGAGGAACAAATCTGCAGGGAAAATGCTAGTATTATAGAGCAGGTCTCAAGTGCCTAGGTTAATGCCAAGTGGTCTTTCCACTTCCATTCCTTCTGTTGAGACTTTTTAGTCATTGATACAACTGAATGGCGTCAGGGATTTTGGGTAGTTAAGAGTCGACCACGTTGCTGTAGGTCTGACTAGGCATGATTTTGTTTCAAAAGAACAGTAATGAGTTAGATGGGGGTTTTATGACATTGGTTTAATGATCATCATTAGACTTCCAATTCCAGTGTTTTTTTCTCAACATTCAATTCAAATTTCCCCCCTCCACTGTAATGGGATTCAAACCTAGGTCCCCTGGTCTGTGGATTACCAGCGAAAATGTTACCACACCATTGTCTTCCAGTAAACAATGCTGCAAAACAAAAGTTTGTGTGATTTTAGTGAAAACAATTTGTCTGCTAGAGCAGGATCACCAATGTGATCGGAGGGATTTGAACAATCCATTTTGTTGAAATCCCACCATGGCAGGAAGGGGAATGAATATTCAGCAAGGTACATCAGGAATGGAAGGCTACTCAGTGATGGTAACCATGAGACCATTATTGATCGCCATAAAATACTCATCTGGTTCACTCATGCCTTTTAGGGAAGGAAATCTCCCGTCCTTACCTAGACTGGCCGACATGCTTGCTGGTATGGAAGGTCTGAGTTATAAGGAAAGGCTGGGACATTGTTCACTGCAGCGTTGTAGGTTGAGAGGTGACCTTATAGAGGTTTGTATAATCATGAAGGGCATAGATAAGGTGAATGGCTTTTCCCTAGGATGGGGGATTCCAAGTCGAGGGGGCATATTTTTAAGGTGAGAAGAGAGATTTAAAAAAGACATGAGGGGGCAATTTTTTTACATAGAGGGTGGTTTGCGTGTGGAATGAACTGCCAGAGGAAGTGGTGGATGTGGGTATAATTACAACATTTAAAGGACACTTAGATAAGTACATGAATAAGAAATGTTTGGAGGGATATGGGCCAGAGGCAGCCAGGTGGGACTAGTTTAGTTTGGGATTATGGTCGGCGTGGACTGGTTCGACATAGGGTCTGTTTCCGTGCTGTATGACTTCACGTGGCTCACAACAACGTGGTTGACTCAACTCTCCTATGAAATGGCCCAGCAAGCCACTCAATTGAGGAACAAGTGGGTGAAAACCATATTTCCTGATAAATAAAGGAAAAAAGAAAGCTGCAAGAGAGGGTATTGAATGTGATGATGTCAGACAAAGGTCATAAGCTTCTCAGATGTAAGGATGGAGAACAGTTATAAAGTTGAGAAAAGAACTGGGGGTTATCTTTACTTTCCAGTTGACCCTAGAGCAGTGGAAATGAGGTCCATTCGTGCTGATGTAGTCCAGCAGATTTGATAATGGACAGCGAAACTGCATGTGACTCAGAAACCATTCACATTGTTCCCCCTTTGTATTGAAGTGCAACTGTGACCGAGGTGGAAGATAGTAATATTTTAGCTGACGACAAGAACATGAACACCGAAGTGAGAGAACAATAGAATTATGATGAATGGATGGCCAAAGATGAAGCACTTGGAGTGGGAAGGAACATCTGAAGTGGTTTGTCGGAGGAATTCTTTCCCAGTTAGATGGAAAGGTGGTCATGGGTGATGAGGAGAAACATAGAACTTAGGAGTAGTCCACTCAGCCCTTTGAGCCTTCTCTGCTATTCAATATGATCA